TATTGCACCGAGGAAAAAGGGGATCTAATTTTCCTTGCAATTGTAGAAGATAATTTGAAGTAAGTCTTGTGTGATGGAATATGCTGAATCCTTACATGAAAATATGAATATGACATAAAAATTTAATGCAAACAAGAAGCTTTTTCTCCACTGACTGAACTCTGAAATCTAAGTAGCTTTTATCTTGATCTCAGAATTAAATAATCATATACTATTTTTGAAGTATTACCTACGAAGTATTTCAGTTTTATATGGTCCAGAAATAAAATAATAATAATAATAATAATAATAATAATAATAATAATAATAATAACAATAATAACAATAATAATAATAATAATAATAATAATAATAATAATAATAATCGATAGTACTGAGAACCCTTTACAAATTATTTAACTAAAATATAATAATGAATTTCTTTCACAGACGTTTTGTTATGAAAAAGCACTGAAGTAAAGCTTTATCTTAAGAGACAGAGAAAAAAATATCATTAATTCAACTGAACACTTGTCCTGCCTATTAAGTACCAATATTTTGGGAGCAATACAAAATAAACTCTTTCTTTCCTTCTTACACGGTCACAGCACTTCATGGGTCACATTAAGAAATTCTTAAATGAACCTTTCCAGATTTTCATTTCTCTAGATCTAAATTTTAAACGACATCCAAAAAAAAAAAAAAAAAAAAAGGAGAAATGAAAGGAAAGATGTAGACGCGGGATCGAGGGACACTGGTTCGAGCACGTGAAATCGTTTGGTATTGTTTTTTTGGTTTTGTTCTGTTTCCTAAGAATCAAATAAAAAGAGCGCCACAGATTCAAATCTCTATATTTCTGCACATGCAAATTGCGCACATAAATCCAGATACGCACACATCCAGCACCTCCACGTTCAAATACAGCTGCAGGGAGGGCTACCAACCATATAGCCCATCACAACCCCTCTACACGTCCCTGGCTTCCGCGGGGCTTAGAGGGCTCCTACAGAGTCCCTGGCGGAGCCTCCGCGCCCCCCTGGGCAGCGCGGAGCCCCTGAGGCGCCTCGGGCCGCTCGGACGCGGGCGCCCAGGGCCCCCCCACACCCGCATTCGCGGAGCGGCCGCCCTGCGCCAGGTGCCGCGACCGCGCCGTCGAGCGCGGGACAAAGAGAGCGGCGCGGGGCCGGCTCCGCGGGCGCGGGCCCCACCGCCACCTGCCCGCGACGCGGCGGGGAAGCGGCGCAGCTACGTACCCCGGGGCGGGAGCCAGGAGCCGCCGTCGGGCCGGGGCCGCCGCCGCCCCTTCGGGCCACGGCCCGGGGCCGCTGCGAAGCGGCACCCGCGGCGGGAGCGGATCGGGGTCGCGCGCTGCTGCCCGCGGACCCCGCGCCCCTCGCCCTGCCCGGGGCGGCGCGGAGAAACTCGGAGCGGTGCGGAGCGGCCAGGGGCACCGCCGCGGGCCGGGGTCGGGGCCGCCCCGACACGTCGTGGGCACCGCCGCGCTCCGGGGGCTGCGGGGGCCCGCCGGGGCCAGGGCACTATTTGACGTCGAGGAGACGGATCACCGCGGCGCAGCGATACGGCGCGCACCAATGGAGTTCAAATGTCAGCAAGTTTGAGGAGGGGTGAGGCGCCGGGGGGTGTGTTCCTCCGCCACGGCCCCTGCTCTAAACGGCGCGGCTCCTCGGCACGCCGCATGGCACAGCGGCTGCGGAGCGCCGGGGAGCCCCGCCGCCTGCCCGGCCCGGCCTGGCCCGCCGCTCTGCCCGGCCCCGGGAGGGCCCCGCGCAGGGCGAGGGGCGCCGGCGCTCCTCGGCGAGCAGGTGACACCGCGGGCTGCCCTGCGCCGTGTGCGCGGCATGTGCGCGCCTGTGTAGCGCGGACTGCCCCCATGGGCAGCGGCGCCGGCTCCTTCCTCTGCCCCCCGTCTCTGGAAGTGCAGGCAGGAAACGCTCCTCATGTCTCCCAGATAAAAATAAAAGCGACTCCCTCTTCCCCGCCGCAGAGTGTCCCAGCGCGCGGCCCGGCGCGGGGCTGAGCGCGCCCGCCGCCGCCCCGCCGCCGCCCGCCCCATGGATATCGCAACAGGTCCCGAGTCCCTGGAAAGGTGCTTCTCGCGAGGCCCGTCGGACTGCTCAAAGATGCTGGACGGTATTAAAATGGAAGATCACCCTCTGCGCTCGGGGCCGGCCACGTTAGGAGTGTTATTGGGTGAGTTGCTGCTCGGTTCTCGGCTCTGGCCAGGCAGAACTTCGTGCTGCGACCGCTGCCCGCGGCGCCTTCGCGGACGGAGCTCGCGTGGGTTGCGGGGCCGCCGCGGGCAACGGGCGCCGGGGGGACCTTCTTGACTGGCACTTGCGGGGTGCCGACTTGGGAGAGACCGCGGGGCTCGTCCGGCCGAAACGCGGAGCTGGCGCCGAGTTCGGGTGCTCGGCGGATCGGAGAGCGGGGCCGGGAGAGGAGCCGGGCTGGGAGAGGAGCCGCGAGCAGAGTCGGGCCGGGAGCGCGGCCGGGAGCCGGGAGCAGGGGAGCGGAGCCGGGAGCGAAGTGGGGCCGGGAGCGCGGCCGGGAGCCGGGAGCAGGGGAGCGGAGCCGGGAGCGAAGTGGGGCCCAGAGCGGGGCTGGGCGCGGGGAGCGGAGACGGCAGCGGAGCGCGGAGCGGCGCGGGCCGGGGAGGTGGCGGGCCCCGTGCCGGCGTTCAGGGCGCTCTTTGCCGTTCCCAGGCTCGGAGTGTCAGCACCAGGCCGTGTGCGAAGGCTGCCAGCGGCCCATCTCGGATCGCTTTCTGATGAGAGTGAACGAGTCGTCCTGGCACGAAGAGTGTTTGCAGTGCGCGGTGTGTCAACAAGCCCTCACCACCAGCTGCTACTTCCGGGACCGCAAACTCTACTGCAAGCAGGACTACCAACAGTAAGAGCCTCTCGGTGCGCCCGGCCCGGCCCGGCCCCGCGCCGCTCCGCCCGGCCCGTCGGCGGGGAAGCCTCGGCCGCCCGCGCCGCGTCGCGCGCCTCGGGGCGCTTTTCTGAGCGAGGCGAGCTGCGCAGCCGAGCCCGCCACGGTGCCCCAAGCCCCGCGGGGTGGGACAGGCCTCGCTGCGGGCCCCGGGCTGCCCGGGCAGTGCGGATGCGGGAGCGACACAGCGCCGAGGGTCGAAATGTCCTTCCCAAAAAGCGAGCCGCGCCGGGGTCCCGCAGCGCCGTCGAGGGGCCGCGGCATGTGAGGCGGTGCAGACACGGCCTGCCTGTGGCCGGCCCGGGCTCTGGGGCTCGGAGAGCCGCGTCCTGCAGCCGCGGAGCAGTGCCGGCCGCAGCGCTGCAGCCGCGGCCCCCGCGCGCCTGCCCAGCCGCGCTGCTGGGGAACCCCCAGCCCCAGGCGCGCAGTTGGAGCGTGGGGTGCGCGGTGGCCGCAAGGCCCACTCCGGGACACGGCGYTGCTCTCGCCCTGGGCCCGGGTGCTGCGGTGTCAGCGGCCCCGGGCCGACACGGAGCCGCTGCCCCGCGCCGGTCTGGCCTCYCCGCAAAGGCCGCTGCATGCTTGTCACCGAGATTGAGGAGCCTTTTTGTGCCGGGCGGGGGGCAAACACGGGCACTTCAATCACCGCGACATAATGTGGCTCTGCTAGAAGTCTGGCAACAAACAAAGAACAACAACTATTGGTTTGCATCAACTTTTGTCAGGCATTCAGCAGGCTCCAGAAAGGCCTGAAGTGGCTTAGTGGCAACAATGTGCATTTCATAGCTACAGCATGAAAATCCATCTCCATGGAAACTGGTTGTAAATGCTAACATGACATGCTGAGTATAAATATTGTTAGGGTTATAATTCTTGTATAAGTGGCCTAGATAAATGTCCCCCTGTTTAGGAATTACAACAAAACGTGTTATTTCACGATGCAGCCCTGACCAGCATGCCACTTGGGAACCCTCCCCGGCCGGGTGCCGCTCAGAGTGGATGTGAGTCTGGCTTCACGGGCTGCTGCCGTCCTGTGTCGCGGCGCTGAGCTTTGAGCAGTGTTAGCACTTCCTCGCATACACCAGCACATGAGCGTTTCCACCTTCTCCATGTTTTACTTCTACATAAAATAAATTCCCCTTTAGCAGTTGTAGTGGTAAATCAGTGAAGCTTCTCAAATGGCTAGTGCTAACTTAGGTATTTCAGTTAATTATGAAAGAATTTAGAATAGTCTGTAGGACATCCAAAAAACGTTATTTGGAGTTTTTACAAAKATGGAGTTTTGGGAGTTTGTCAAACTCCAAATTTGGGGTTATACAAATATGTGTAGCCCTAAAGTGGTCCCTTTAGTTTGTGTAAAATAAAGGAAACCTCGTTCTGTCTCAGAAGGCAACAAAATAGCCTATTGCTTTGTTTTTTTTAAAGAAAGAATACTTTTCTGACTCAGGGTAGAATCGTAACCTCTGCCGAACGTTCCGCAGTATCAAAGGTGCCCRTCTATAGGGGGAAGTGGGGTAACCAGGCTGACGAGCAATAAAAAGATATCACCATGTTCGGCTTTGTTGCATCGCAGCACCTCGCGTGACACGACATGGCAACCTGCTGTGCGTGCCCCGCGACTGACAGCCGCGCGGCCCGGGATGGCGGCAGCCACGGGAAACCAGAATTTGTTTTCTTTGAAATTTTATTAACCTGAAAGAGAAAACACGTGAAGCTGAGCTGACGGTGTTTGCTCATGTGCTTTCCCCAGCCGTTGAGTTCCGAGCGCAGCCAAATGCTCCTTTATCGCCGCGCAGGTAGAAAGCAGCTCCGCGTGCACACGCAGCGCCGGGGCTCGCTGCACAGGGAGCAGGATGCGGCGGCGGAGCGGAGCGAGCGCTCCCAGTGCGCCGGGGCAGCCCTCGCTGCAGCGGAGCGGCGCGTGAAACGCCTCTGTGCTGATKGAGTGAGGGGGCTTGGAAACCCGGGGACGGAGCCGTCTCATGCAGACTGGCGACCAGGAGCACTAAAACTAGGTGCTTTTTTGTTATCGTGGGTCCAGATCTCTGAAAAAAAATAACAGGGAGATTTCAGAATATTACTTAAATATCTTAGTTACTGAAATTTGCTTTAAATAGATTTTTCTGTATGTAGTAATGTAATTTAAAGGTCAGATTTCTCCAGAACTCCCAGGACTATAATCAAGTGCTGTGTGTATATCTTTGGAAAACTGATGTCTCGTCTTTCTAATGAAAGCAAGCTCCTGATGGGTCAGATATCAGACCTTAAACCTTTCACTGGGTCAGGAGTGATTACTGCCCATCCTCGGGTGAGGGCATTTCACATTAGGGGGAAGGGAGAAAACATTTTTCTTTTTTCTTTTTTTTAATAGAAATGTTAGCTATTTGAAACTAGTCCTGTGCTTGGAATGTTAGAATAAATCCTTGGGGAGATGGATTAGTGGCCCAAGCTCAGTTTGAAGTAGTCAGAGGTGCCTGATAAATGCAATTTATCACAAAAATATCATCGCTGCATCAATGGGACCAACGTCTCTGCTGTGCATGTATTTCAGATTCTGGCTGCACAAGTCAATCCAACAAATCTCCGCTGTGCAGGAAGATACTGATCTTTCAGCTGAATGCAAGGAATTTATTTTGCTAAAACTGTAGATATTGACAGTCACAGGTATACTTGGTTGCGAGGTTTTTGTGCAAGGTTTTTTAGGGCACTAGAATCTTAAAACTCGTACGGAGACTCTTACTTTAATGAGGGGTTTGGCACATTGCTGCATGTTTGGCACCTTACACTTGCATTCACTGCTTTAAAAGAAATTTTCTTTCCGTTGAACTGAAGTCTTTTGAATGAATGCTTATCAAAAATAGGAGAGTTGCAGTAGTAATATTCAGGTTATTTGCTTAAGTGAGTTTGTTTATTGTTTCACTCTAAGCAGTGCCTCCTGGTATAAAACATTAGTAATTACAAATACTACTTTTCTTTCCCATCTCTCTCTTTATTTTTTTTTTTCAATTATACTTTTATCAATTATACTTTTCTGCTTTGTTTTTATTTGGCTATTTAGTGTTATATAATCATTTGCCCTAGTTCTTGCTGATGTTTTTAAAAAATATATGCTGAGAATGCTAACTGTTTCAGGTAACATGTGTAAGAAATACATATAATTTGTAAAAAGATATCTATTCTTAATGTAGCTTTCAAAATGAAAGCTATGAAGTATCATTGATTCAAGGAATAAGATAGCAAAGAATCATAATTAATATTTCATAATTGTTCATAATTTTTAAGTTTTGCTTTGGGTAAGAAAGAAGAATTTTTTTTTTGTTAAAAGCTTTGGGATATGTTAGACATTGTTTTAGCGTCCATATTTTATACTATAAGCAGTAAGTTTCTKCGTATTTCTGGTATTTGTTTGCAGTGTTCTGATCCTTGAGCCTTTCCTTGGTAGAGATTGAACTTATTTTTTGCATGTAGTCAGCCAGGAGCAGCRTGTACCTAAAGAAAAGCAGAGGCAGTGCAGGGAAGCCTTGTTGCARCATGGAGATTTTTGCCTCTTCACATTTTGGAAATCCCTTCACATCAGTAAAACAGTGAGAGCTGCGCCTCAGTTCAGTTAGTTTGTACCTAGGAGGAAACAGGCGCTTGCTCTTGGTGCCTGTGTGTGATTTTGGTGGCGGTTCCCGGCCACAGGAGCGGGCTCAGGAATGCAGGAGGCGGCGGAGCGCGCGGTGGCGGCGCAGTGCGCCGGAGCGGGGCTCCCTGCCCACGGCGGCTCTGTTTTCCTTGCAGCTTCCGAGGGGGGCATCGGCCCTTGCAGCGCCTGCGGCTGCAGCGGGCAGCGGCGCCAAGCCCAGTACCCGCCTGCCCGTCCTCGCCCGCTGGCCCTGGGGCTCTTGCCGCCAGGAACGGCCCAGCGCTGCCTGGAACTCGGAGAGGGGAGCCGCGCGAGCACATGCCCAGGACATGGAGTAATGATTAGAGTTATGTCATCCACTAAAAATGCTTTTAGAAGTGTCTGCAGCGTGCTGGCACCTCAAGCTGYGGCCCCGCGCAGCCCCACAGGGCCCCTGGGGCGGCCGTGGGGACGGATGCAGCGCTCCTTGGGGAAGGGCAGCGGAGCAGCGGGACGGCGGAGCCGGCTGCGGGAGCGCGGAGCCCACGGCACGGCTGCACGCCAGGCGCCCTGGCCCAGGAAATCCTCTGCTTCCCTGCAAGATTCACCCTGACCTCTCTGGGCAAAATAATTGCAATAGTAAAGTTTAATTTGCCCTAATCCGTGACAGAAAATGATAGGGAGGACCTTTGCGCAATGTAGACAATATGCAATTATATTAATATGAGGATAATTTATAATCCTTAACTACCAGCCTTAGAAAGAATAACCAATAAATGTGAAATACACTGTGAAAATATTATTCGCTGAGATCTATAAAGAACGGGAACATTTTGTATTCTGTTAGGAAACGGTGTTTATTATTTCTTGGCCTAAACTTTTGGACCAGTTCAAAAGCATCCGTCACATTTTTTTTCCTACTAAAAATAATGTATTGTGATAAAATGGATTAATTGTAATGTATCTATTAGACTAATTATGTTATTACTGCATTTCAGTTGTGACTACATACTGTTCTTTCTTGCTTTCCATGTGGAGCAGCTTGTAGAGCATGATGCATATTAAAATGCTTATGGCCATTGTGGTCTTGAAAACTGAGGAGCATTTAGTAATAATTGGGGGCTGCCCTAATTTAGTCAGATAATTGGTAAGAAATGATCGGGAGGAAAAGGAATATGCTTTACATAATGGGGCTATGACTCAAATAGAAATAAAGATTTTTATTTTTTTAGCCCAAACAAAATTCACAAGGCTGCAGTTTATACTCAGCCTGCTTTTCTTCATTAATGTTCTTCTTGTTGCAACAAGAGTTTGCTTCAGTTCATTTCATATCTCCTTCTGCTGTAATGAG